GTAAAAAGTAAAATGAAAAATTGAACAAAAAAGTCGCCCGATCAGCTTAAAATGCTCTAGTTTCACCAACATTTGAAGTATTCGTTCTAAATTCTCGAATTTGGGTATAGTTGAGCGGTTCGAACTTTTTGACCATTAGAACCACTACTAATGAAATATTTTATTTATCAGTCAATTTTGCACATTACTACTAGATGACTACCTGACTACTAGATGGTCGCAGATTATCTATTTAAATAAAAATTTATATAATAATTTTATAATATTAATAATAATATTATTAATTGTTTCCTCTCTGAGTTACAAAAACCATTTTCATAGACTACGCTGTAAATCATTTTAAATCTCTTAGTCGAAAGAAATTTAGATGCCTTTTATGATAGCAGTCTTTTATTTTATCTCATAAGTTGTCATTATTTTGGTTTTATATTAGTGCTTAATAACAACTTATGGATTTATATAAGAAACACTGTATCTTTTGAATAATATGAGTTCCTTTGTATATAAAGTAAAATTTAAACAAGTTTTAATCTTCGATGTATATTGCATTATCGATCTGTTGCCTATATAGGCATGCAAATCGTACATTATTGCTATATTAGCATACTGATTAACTTCAAATATGTATAAAATAAAGCTACTTTAACTATTCTTTGTAATAGTTATAATCATCGACTGATTTCCATACATTTTTTTTAAAATTAACATGCAAAGAATATTTTATCTTATTTTAAAAATAATTAAATAAAATTGATCTAACCACTTTGCTGTCAGGTGCAACCTATCCGGTCATATACAGATTCTCATTTAACTGTAATAACTATAATTATTTATTTTCTATAATAAATATTTCCCACTCCTTTTGCTTTGCAAAATTGAAACTATTAAATTACGGGAACGGATTGAATGTATTAAACGCAAACAGGTCATCAACAGCTTCTTCGGCAGACTAAATTAATTTTTCAGCCCACAAATTGACTTGACTTAAATGTGCTGCAGTCAAATTGTGCGCAAAAATTATTAACTCGAAGTCTTGCAAAATAACTGCAAAAATGCATTCATCGGCGTTACCAAGGAGTTTGGAGCGCACGCGTTTAGTTTTAAAAAAGACGGCAGTGCAACAGGTGAACGAAAAGCGAAAAATATTATTAAAATATTACGGAAAGAACTGCCTTTGCAACATCACTTAAACATTGTATTAAGAACAAGTATCGGTATAATCAGCATTAAGTCCGTTGAACGGACAAATGCAACAAAGCTGAGCTCCACAAATTTTCCAATATTTCCTGCTGTTTTCATTATTTCAAACCTGCAATGGCAATGTAAGCACTTCACTCTGCAAACTTACATATTGCTTGCTTCAACGTTTTTGTCTGAATTTTTATTTTTTATTTTAAATTTTTTATTGTAACAATTTTTTTTATATTTTTTAGCTTTAGATTTGTGTTATTTTCTTCTGATTCCAGAAATTGCATATATAATTTTTTTCCTTATGTTCTTATTATTGTGCAACAAACTGCAAGTTCACCTTATGCAGTTGTTGTTATTACAGTTGCTGTTGTTGTTAAATGGTGCTGCATTTTGTTCTAGTTGTGCACCTGCAGGTGGTTTTGCATCAGTTCCAAATGCACATAAAATATTGCCAGCACATGATATTGCTTCCAGTTATGAGAATAACGTACGAGTTTAGCCGGGGAATCTGTTCATTTTGCAATTTAATGCTTTCTAGTGCCTTGAAATTGACTTGACTTGATACTTCAAATCTATGCGCTTAATGATCTTAAAGCTCAGCTTTACCCATTGCAAAGGCTATTATTTGTGATAAATATAAGAGCGTTGATCACAATTTCAGCATTGGTAAAAGCACAACATATAATTTTATTCCAACTACGAAAAGATTGCCTGCACTATTGTTGCACTACGAGGGCAGAATCTTTAGAAAAACACAGCAAAAAGTACAGCCAGTATATATGTTGAAGTTGAAATTAATTAAACTTAAAATATCTTATAGGTTGCTAATTAAATTTAAACAAATTTTAAAAATATATATAATATTTCTGTAATTGTTGAAATTTATTATATGAAACCGTTACTTTCTTTTACGAATGAAATATCAAGAAAAAAATTTAAGGTTCGTTGACCATTCTATTGAATGCAATTAATGTTAACGAATAGCAAAAATAAAAAAAATAAATATTGCTTTTACCTTTTAAAAGTTAGTTAGGTTACATATTAATTAATTCTTTCAGTCTTAACATACATTTGTATGTAAAAAGAAGTTATTAGATTCCTGCAACAATCAATGTTAAAGATTGACAATGTTAAACACATGTCTATCTTCTGTGAATTGATATATATATAAATTATTTTAACTCCTCTTTGAACTGATAGCGCAGCTATTTTTGTAAATGGTTGTTTTTCCCCCCGGTAACACTAACACTCAAATATCTTGACTTATAAAATTTCTCTCACATGCGAAAATAAATTTCAAGTTTATATTCATCATCAGCGTTACAGCTCGGGGTGAGCTTTAGCTACATCAACCAGCTTTCTCCTTTCTCCTTTCTGCTTTGAATTTTGTTTTAGACCTCAAATTTTGAATACCCGTTTTTCTGATGTCCTCGGTCACGTTGTAGGGCCATCTTATACGTGGCCTGCGGTCGTTATACGGCTTGAAATCCATATATATATCATATATAAAATTTATATTATGTTAAAGTAATTTTATATATTAATTAGCTACCACTGAATTTAAGATTTTTATTATTAAATAAGACCAGCACAGGCTACGGCATCGTTGAGTAGGCTGATGGTTATTAATGTCAACAGCCAAGTCTGTCTTACTATACTTAAGCGAAATATAGGCTAATTCGCTAAAATTAGAACAAAACCGTAAGACATTATCATCAGTACAACGAAAAGCAGCTCTGAGAGTTGCTTCAGCATACCGAACCAAATATGAATAATTTCGACAAAGAAAGAAACAAATAACCTAAGTGAGGCCTTAAACATAAACCATAAAAACATTTTAATGAATAGCTTAAACGGGGACCCTACCCAAAAGTATACCCGATAAAGTTTCAGGGCGGGATTGTTTTTAGCCCATGCAAACCGGGCTTAATACTATTGTGACGATGCGTTAAGCATTTTTAAACTTAAAATAAAAAAAAAATTAATTTATAAGATATGGATTCTTATAAAGCAATGAAATAAACTTTTGCTAAAAAATAAGTATGTATTTCAGTTGGTATTTTAACATGAATAAAAAATTATAGTGCACAATAATACAAACCAGTATTCTATTATTCTGAATAGTATTGAATAATAACATACTGAATAATAATATAATATAATATAAAATTGGAAGCAAAATCGAATACATTTAATATCTGTATTTTATATTAATATTTAATTTAATTATTAATTTGATTAAACTTTCTTTTGGTTGCTGAATATATTTTAAATATTTAGCGATATTCTTATTGATCTATTTAAATTTAAACACTTCAGTTTTATTGGAACCATTCGATCTCAATTTTTGTACCAATCTATTTGAAAACACTGACTTTGTTATAGTTAAATATAGTTAATTAAATTCTTTGCTCAATGTTTTTAAAATTATTTGTACATGTTAAAAATTTTTGTATTACAATATTGAACTCTATCATAAATAAAAAAAAAAACTTACCTAATCTAGATTCATAAATATTATATTTGTTATCTAATTATTTTTCTTTAATTTTCGGTATAAACTGCTACAATAACAGCTATTAAAATAGCTATAGCAATGCCCGCTATAATAATAATAGTTACTATTATTGTATATACTAAAATTGGAACTATTCGGTTCAGGTATCGTCAATGTGCACATGTTTTTTTTAATTTTTCTGTTTGTATATTTTAATTTTATTTAGCTTCACTATTACGTTTTAATTAACCACTGATCTAAAACTAGTTTAATTTGATTGCTTTTAAGTAAATTAATATTAATTAAATTTTGATCTATTACAAAAACCTTTATGGGTGCACTAAAATTAAAAGATTTCTCAGCAAATAATTAAAATAAAGTACTTAAATTTAAAAATTAATCAAATAAAAATTTTAATGAATGCTTAAAATGTATTCAGCAGCTAAAAGAAAGTTTCATCAAATTAAGAGAGAGAGATATGAGTTAAATTGTAGAAAGCAGATATTTTATTTGATTAAGTTAATTGCATTGCGCATGCGCGCATTTATCAAATATCACAACATAGCCTTAAAGTTGAGGAAAATCAAAATATCTTGAAGAGGAACAGAGCAAATGAACCTGTTATCAGTTGAAATTAATCAAGCGTACTTTGTTTGTTTGTAATGAAAAAATTATGCTGTTGGCGTTAAGTAAACATTTACTTTATTTTACCAAAAAGAGGACTATTTCTTTGTTCATTTTGTTCGTTTAGATGTTGTATGATGTTGTATGATGTTTTTGTTAAAGTACTTTTTAAGTGTTCAACAAAAGTACAAAAGAACAAACATAAAAACACGTCAGCGCTACTTTTAAAGATTTTTATCAATTTACCCGTAACAAGAATGTGTTTTGTACCTACATGGCACGCATTTCTGGCCGAGATTGCCAAGTTTTCTGTAGAAATATGCAATGTTATCAATGTACAGCGATTCACATTCGCTGGCTCTAAAGCAGCAGCGTAATAACATCATCACCATGTAAACTACAGCAATGATGAAGCATAGTCAGCATTTATTCATATCTTTAATCATTAAGAACGATCTTGTTTCAAAACGTCTGCTTGTATCTGTATCTGTGTATACGTGTGTATGTCAGTTTTAAGTATCAAAAAAGAGTTGCAGTGGAGGCGTTAAGTATGACAGTTAAATAAAAAGGGTTTTTATGTTTGAAATTATAAACAAGTAGCATTAAGAAATTAATTATATATACAAATATAATTCACATGTGAACATTTTTTTAAATTCTATACATTCATATACAAATTTTGTTGCAGTTGCCGGCATCACAGCATTTTTTAGTCGAACCTCAACAACTCATAGAGCCTAAACAAAATATTGAAGTGGACACGAGTGCAGCAGCGGACACAATTAAGCACCACAATACGCAACTAAAATTGTTGCAATTTCAAGCATCGCCAACTCAACAGCAACTAAAAAGTACTCAGCGCTCATTGTCAGCATCGGTACCACCTGCTCCAGCACCACAACAGACAACAGTCATTATACGCAAGGATATACATAGTTTTAATTTCTCAGATATCGAAGTATCGGAGCGGCCCACTGCAGCGTTGCTAAACGATTTAGCGCGTCGTAGTCGGAACGGTGAACTTTTGCACGATCTATCACAACGTGCTGTTACGGCAACACCGAAACCACCGATAACTGAACTCGATGACATTTTCATTAGTGTCAAGACAACGAAAAATTATCACGATACACGTTTGGCGTTGATTATCAAGACATGGTTTCAATTGGCGCGCGATCAGGTCAGTACCTTTATGCTTATTTTAAAATTTTAAAATTGTGGGGAAAGTGAAATTTTATGGCAATTAAAATTTAAGACAAAAATTCAATAAAAGTTATGTAATAAAAAATCAAAATAAAAATTTTAAATGCTAACAGAAGTGGAAATTGTGAATATGTACATGCAATGGAAATTAAAAATGTTAACTAATGAAATGATTTACTTTAGTTAAACAAAACCTAAATTTTGCATTAATGAACTTAATATAATTAAAAAATTACATTATGTTAGATGATATTTACAGATGTACCATAGTCCTCTGCTCGTTTTCGCTACCTCCGACCAATGATAGCATCAGCAGCACGCTGTTACTGGTAGTTGCTGCCGATTGGAGCAGATTATTTTTGAGTCGCTAGAATTTTCAGCCAGACTATATAGAAGCACAAATCTTTCAACCCGGATTTTCACTCATTCACATGATATAATCAATAAGCTGTCAATATTTTATTCACTTAGCCATATTAACGTCACGGTTTAGCTCACACATCTTATCATTCCTTCTAATTCGATACGAAAAATTTTTTTTTGTATGCTTCTAATATCTTATTAGCTGATTTTTGTTTATGTGTAGTGGACCTTATTTGTTAATTGCCCACTTATGGTATATCGATTAAGATTGTGTTAGTACGACATTTTTCGTTGAATTGCTTGGTCGACATCAGTTCCAATATTGTCTCTTAGTCACAGAAAGTACCTATTAGTTTCTTTATCAGAAAAGCTATTTAATAACAATTTTTAATAGTAAGTAATATGATTTATAGAGCGTACTTAAAGCTTAAATATTTGAATTATATACCCTACACAAGATCCTTGCACCTATATCTATTCTGGTATTCTGATAATATACATCGTTAGCTAATTTTGTCATGACCTGAAATATCCAAAGGAATATGTGGAACTCGCAAAGGAATAGAAAGCACACATAAAAAAATTATGGTATGACTGCAGTTCTTATTGCACATTTGTTTTTAAGGATTAGAATATTTATGTCGATAATTTATTGATGATATTGATGATAAAATGAGACCAACGTGCATATTCTCCTTACTTTATTTTCCGAAAGCTTTATCCCTTGCCTTATAACTCTAAAACAAGTTTTTGAACCTCTTGCTCAAAAGAGGTTGTAGGAGTAGTTCAAAAGTTTATAATACCATAAATGAGAAGTAGCAAATAATATAAAATTTAAGAATATATTTATGATAAAAATGCAAAAAAGGATGAACAAAGAGAATGTAAATCGATGATCTAAAGAAGTATTTAATAACATAATGTATAGTACCGTTCTTTTATTTAAACAATAAAAAATTGAAAGAAATCATGTTTTAAGTGTAATAAGTGAGTACTTTAAATATATATATATGAGCAAATAAACTCAATTTGAATGTCTGATTTAATTGCTTTTGTTAAGATCGTATATCATACCAATTAATAGTATTCAATATAAAATTGACATAAAAGGAATATAATTTTAAAAGCATTTGTATCTAAAAGCTTTTTTTGATTTATACTGAATTTTTTAATGTTACGTTTAATAAAGTTTAATTTTCATACACGCTTTACATATTACCTATATCGATATATACAAAACTAATTTTAATTCCATGTACTTAAATTGGTTTTTATTAAATCGGAAGGTCTTACAGAATTCCACATAAAAGTTGATTTTTAATAAAAACAAAAAAAAAGTTAATTTAATTTGACTTTGTGGTTTCTGATTTGAATATTTTTGATTTCGTCTAAATTTGCATAATCACCTCCGTTCTTAATTTTTTAATATCAAAAATCCGTATTGTATATTAATAATGTATCTGATTATCGATTTCTTTTTGTATTATTGCTATTTTAATGAGCCATAAAAATGTCTTCATTAATTGTTTAGACATAATAAATTATAAGATTTGTTAATTTATAGATATATTTTTTTGAAACTAGTATTTGCCAAAAAGTTGAACAACAGATTTTTTAAATATATTTATTCTTTTTTTTGTTCAACAAAAAATTTACATATATGTTTTTGCTAACAACAAAAATGCTAATTAATATAAAATGAAGTGGGAAGGCATTAGATATGAATATATTATAAATACATTAAAAAGTCTTATAAATCTTCTATATATATATTTTATTCATATTTAAATTATACGTCAGCAAAAGTAATAAATGCAAATGATTAAATCGATTTTTAAAAATTAATATCTCTAAAAATATACTGAAATTATGAAATTAGAAGGACTAACATAATGAATTTAAAATTAATCATGAAATTAATTTCATTTTGCAAAAAATATATATATATACATATTAAATATTCAAATAGTATTATCATTATTACATATAAATTTTAATCTGTTTGATTATTATCAAAGTATTCGTTATAAAGAAAGAGGTTTAATACTTTTAGATTGGCTTTTCATTGTTTACTTTTCTGTACCTCTGAGTTGTTGGACTTGTATACAGAAGTTGCAATACAGTTCTATTTTCTTTTGGGTGGTTGCAGTTTTGACAGTTGGAATTTTGCGAGATTCCTATTTAGGTGGTCTATTTTCCAATAGTCCAGTATGAATTTAGAGATATTCATTATTTTCTTTCTTGCTTATCAACAGTATAACACAAAACTCTAGAGAAACCACTGCGTATAAGTATTAGATATATTGACTTATTTTAAGTATTTTGGATAATATCAAAATGATATAATTTGATTTGATTTGATTTGATTGGACAAATAACTTCAAATGAGATTACATAGAAAGAGTAGATTAAAGATTTTGAACGTCAGTTGCGACATGAAATAGAACTTAATTAACTTCTTGTAATTAATTAAGATGAAATTTTCTCTTGTGTATAAATTATTGAGCAGCTGCTACCTTTTTCTTGTTTGATGAAATTTGTGAAGTAGTACTTGAATTTGAGCTCAGAAAATATCCAAATTGAAAACAAAATAACGAACTCTGTTGGTGGCACCTTCTGTATCTCTAAACTAAGAGAAAATATTTATTAACACAAAATTCAAATTCTTAACCCTTTTGTGTTTTTGGACATGAATGTGTGTGACAGATTCCTTAAGATTCTTTTTGTATGTTAATTTGTGTGAGGAGAAGTGCCGTTGAAGTCAAACAATGTTGTCTTAAATTATTTGTATAGCTTGAAAATATTTTTTAAATTTTTATTCTTATTTATTGCTTATTTATGTGCCTTATGCAAACTCACGTATTGAGTTTGTTTACAATAATGCAATTTTGGCAAAATAAAAATGTATTTTAGAAAAATATAAATATAAATATTTACAAATGAAACACCTCTTAAAATCTTTGAAAAAATTTTCTAAGCACGTTTCAAATAAAGCAAAAATATTTATCAATCAGAATGAATAGCAATTTTTACCTCAAATTGAAGGTCCTGTTGATGTTTACATTTTTGGTTAGATGGATATAAATTTTTTAGATGGATATAATTTTTAATTAATATAATAAAAGTAATAAAAATTAAATTATATTTTTTTTTATATACATATATTTTAGCTGATTTAAAATCTATGAAAAATTACTACTAAAATTACCAAAGTATCTTATTTATTAGAATAGAAATCTGTGGATTAAATGCAATTATTTTCTCTGTATTGCTAGCAAACTTGAACAAAAAAAAAGATAGAAATGAAAATGTAAAAATACATAAAAATATATCAGAGCTTATACATTTCTGACTGGCAGATACGTGGCATCAGCATTATTTTTACCTTAAAAGGCCACGAGTTAAATTGCTCCATCAATGACAACGTGGAAAAGTTGTTGAATAGCTTTTGATGTGTAGAGCAATCGCTGTCCATAACTTGGTAGCTGCTCTAATGCCAGCATATGCAGCACTTTTCCATAGCAAATAATGTGCTTCACAGCAAATTATGCCAGATCAATGTTTGGTGCAAATAATTTCCTGCACTGGCTGGCTGACTTATTTTTACTATGAAATACACTAGAGCAGTCCATGGTATAGCATGATTATTGAGTTTGTAAATTATTGCTACACCTTGTAGTGCTATAATTTCTGTAACTTGTTATTTTAGTCTAATGATGTATTGTGCTAGTAAGACTAACTACTTCTAGTTTGAATTATGAGCTGCAGATAGAAACGAAATTACTTGGTTTGGTAGATGGTTGACGAGTCGGTTGAGACGCTTGTGGAAAACATTGGTACTATTACACTTGTTATCGTAAAAATCACACAATAAAACAGTTGTTGTGTTTTGCAGCTGTCAATTATTTTCGTCCACTCTCACCAAATCAATAGAAAATTCGATTACTTGCAACAATACCAGTCAGCAATAACAGATACAACTGCAGTAACAGCAGCACAAACAACAAAAACAACAATCATTCCAAAAATAATAATAGATGCTGTCTTTGAAGTTGAGACTTCGTCGTTGTAAATTCATGATTAAGACTTAACAAGAAAATTGCTGTAGTTCACGTTTTATTGAATTCAATCGATTTGAAATATCATCGTCAATTGATTTGAACTAAAAAATTCGTTTCATTTCAATTCAATTAAAATCAATTTGTTGCAAATATTGTTGTTATGGCTTTGTTATTTATGTTGCACGTTGTAATTGATTGTTGCTATAGTAATTATTTTGTAGCTTTAAATTTAAATTAATTTGAATTTGTTTTTTCAAATATGTTAATTCAGCAATGATATCACTGATTGAAGATATTCTGCGCAATTCCATTTTATTGCTACTAAAATTATTTGAAGATAAATAAGGATTTCATCTTCAATGCATTCTTACTTTAATCGAAACCTTTTTTTAATAGAATCTTAATTCTTAATACTTACAGTCTTAAAAAATAATTTACATTTAATTAAATACAAGAATTATTTCCAAGACCACTGATGGTGGGTATTTGGTTATACTCGAAATAGCTCGAAATTCAATTAATTAAAATAATATAAAATGAATTTTTCGTTATT